TGGATGATCTATGCATGGAATAAAAGGTTATTGCATTAATATTTATTTTACCAGGTAGTTGTTGAATGCATTTTATTAGTTGGACAATGTTAAAAAAAAAATTAGTGTTTAGAGTAAAATCCATAAATAGTACTGAAAAATGCACATAATGAATGAATGCATTAATTATAAGGAGAGTGCTGATTCTGATTATTTCTCTGAATTTCATATTGGCCACCTCTTCCTTTCTCTTCTCTAACATTTATTTAAGTCGATGACCACTGATGTGTGAATATTCTCTTATCCTTAAGGGGATCATTTTTATGGCTTTAATAGTGTCTAGTATATCTTCATCTAGCAGACTGAATAGTCCAGACTTAGCCCAAGGTCGTCTAGAGCTTGGAAGCTAAGCAGAGTCAGTTGTGGTCAGTACTTGCATGGGAGTCTGCCAAGGAAGACCAGAGCTGCTATGCGCAGGGGAAGGCAATGGCAAAACCACCTTTGCTCCTCTCCTGCCTTGAAAATCCCATAAGGTGGGAACTTCATGGGATCGCTGTAAGTCAGATGTGACTTGATTCCACTTTATTATTATTTAATTAGTATGTCTTCATAAATTAAGCAACCAGGCCAGCCTTTTAAGTTTAGTGATAGCTTCCTCCTAACCTGAGTCAAGGTTCCAGGCCCATGTTCTCTACAGTCATCAGAGGTCATTTCGGGGGGGATCGTGGGGGATCGCAGTTCCCCCGGGTGAGGTACGGGGGCGGGGCACACGACAAAGCCTCGCCCCCTGCTTCCGGCCACCCCGCTTCCGGCCCTCATTCAGCCAGGAGGAGGCAGGAGAAGAGGGAGGGTAAGTTGCTTCCTCCCTGCCTCTCCCCACCCCTGCCTGCCTGGGGCCAGGGAGGGCCTTCGCGGGGCTTCCTTGCACTCCCGCCGCCCTTGCAGGTCCACCGCCGGGCCCCTCATGGGGCTCGGCAGTGGAGCTGCAAGGCCGGCGGTGGCCGCGACTGTTGGGGGCGGGGTGTGTGGCCTTATGACACACTTCCGGTGATGTCGGGGGGGCGGCCTTATGACACACTTCTGGTGATAGGGGGTGTGGCATATGCTAATGAGTTATGCTAATGAGTTCCCCTAGCTCTTTTTCTACGAAACGACCCCTGACAGTCATCTGCCACATATCCTGATGTTGCTGTGAGGAAACTTGGTCTACACGTTGTGCTGGCCTCTTTGTGTGTACAGGTAGCCAAATGCTGCAGCTGTCCTCTCGGTTTATTGTATGACATGCCCATCTTTGTTTTTACAGCTGCATTGTTGTCATTTTTCCTAAAACATACAACCATTTGGAATTTTTTTTTTTTTTAAAAAAAGGTTCTCCTTAATACTGTTCGTTCCGCCAAAGACATTCCCTTGGTTGAACTGATGTAATTGTTTTCTGTTTTACAGTTTCAGACTTTGTAGAATTGACATGTCGAGTATTGGGATGGAGAAAGGAGTCAGAATGGTTAGCTTTTGGCTTAATTAGTTGACATCTGATCCAATGCTTCATTCAAATGGATATGAACACATGCATGCATAAAGCTTTCCAAAGGATTTGTGCTGAACTTTCAGAATTATCATCTAATTTGCCTTGATATAGATATAAATACGAATTGTGGCCTTTTAGAAGGCCTATTGTAATTACTGATGTCTGTAATGTCATGCATTCTCCTTTCCCCCCAAAGTGCAGCACCATTCACTTTTGCTACTATTTGTGTTGTGCATCAGACACTCTTTCTGGTTATTTCACAAACATTGGGTAGTAAAGAATTAAATTGGTGGATTGGATTAAGTGCCTGGAAGAGTGCTGAAATTGGGAAGATTGACAGACGTTCTGATATTTTAAAAATTGAGTGAAATGGTACAGAAATGGAACTACAAATGAATGTTCTGTTCCGTGTGCCAAAATAACTTTGCAGTTTGTACAACCTATCCATTGTCACTTTTAAATTCAGAAAGACAAATAATCAGAATGCAGGGTTTTTTTTCTTTCTGAAAGGGTACTTTCAAATTCGAAACAGATGGGATATCTTTCCTTCCTGCAGGATACAGGCAAAAAAAGCAGTTGAATATTCATACGAAATGTGGTACATAATGCTTTTTATTCTTTCATGTTCTTATACTCTTAACTCTCAAAATGTGCCTTTCACTTATTTGATTTTTCATAATAAATTACCAAAAGCAAAGTACAATAAAATCCATTTAATTTACAGCAAGAGCAAATAACATGATTTTGAGGGTAGTGGTACCGGTGGAAGTAGGCTTGCCATTCCCCAGGTCTGGGCGGAGGTCCCCCCACTTTCACGGGCTCCTGCCCACCATGGACCAGCTGGCTGTGGAGGGCAAATTCCCCCATCCCCCCAAAAGTGTCATCCTGCACAATGTGCTGACATCTCCCAGAAGTGACATCAGCGTGTTGGTGATGTCGGGAGGTGGGGTGTGACACTCTGCTTTTGGGGCAAAACTCTATGGTTTGAGGTCATTTTCCCCATAGAGTTTTGCCCAAAAAGCAGAGCGTCACCCCCAACATCAGTGACTGGGTGACATCAGTGAGTCTCATGACATCCCTCCCACTCCCGAAATGGCCCCCATAGCCCCCTGCTGGCGAGACAGAGCGACCTGGTAACCCTAGGTGGAAGATAAGTAGTTCAAAGCGTGTGATCCTAAATTGACCAAAAAAATCTTGTACAGACATATTGTTTTACATTTGCAGGACTTTATATACGTGTAATTTCTAAAAGTAGGCATGTGAACTATATGTTCATATGGACAGCCTGTAAAATATTTCCATTGAGGTTTGCTCATTACACATTCCATCTAAAACTGATGTTGGTTCAGAGGTTTGTGAGTGAAACTTAACATATCAAATGGTCCCTGAGTTATTACAACTTGAGGCTTCTTGGAGGTTGCCATTTTTATGACTAGTACTCTTGAGATGTACACTATAAAAAAAATCTATATTGATTTCAGATCTGGATTTCAGGGAGGGCAAAAGTATTGTTATCCCAGTTTTTATAGGATTACCAGTACTGTTCCAAAATTCCATCTTGGAGCATTTTTTCGGACCTGGAATTTTGGGTATGACTTTTAAAATTTTTTACCTGCCCTCACCCAGAGGCAGCAGAGGTGAGGAGGGAAGGAAGGAGAGGAAACAACTGGCCCCAGGGAAACAACTATTCGCATGTTTGTTTCCTTTAAATTTAGATGCTAACAGCTGAGAGGAGTCAGGTAGGCCTGGTCTCCTCAAATTTTTCAAGGGAGGAGGGAGCAAACGAGCCCAGTCATCATGCCAGTATTGCCCTTGCAGAAAACGTTTCTCAGCTGCCAGCGTTGGAGGCAGCAGAGCCTTCCCCCGTAGCTGGAAAATGGTCAGCTGGCCAGTGGGATCCAGCACTCCTGTGGGGCTTGGCTGCCTCATGGGAATTGCCTATGGATGGCACTCCAAGTCAACCCACACGAAATAATGGACCTGGCCCCTGTAATGCCTTGAGGAAAGAATGGGCTGTCATTTCCTATGGCTAGACCTGTCATACTATTCATAGAAGATTCCCTCTTAGCTGCTATTATGCTTCTCTTAAAGGGCCATTATGTTCTATGGGGAATGGCCTTTTAAAGAGAGGGAAGAAAGACTCTAACAGCTGTTTCCCTGGGGAGCTGCTTCTCGTCTTTCCCTCCTTCCCCATACCTGGCCTCTTCAGAATACTTCCAAAATTCTGGGAGATTAATTTTCATTAATATTTTGGGTCCCTTCAGGTTTACCTCAGCTGACCTGAAAAAGCCATTTTTGGCCAAGGGTTTCCTGAGCCCTAAGTAAGACCAATGAGTCAAAGTGAATATTGGGTAATGAAATAGTTCTGATTTAAAAATCTCATCACCTGCTTCTTACATTATTATTTTTTAAACGGACAAGTGGGCCATAGGTGAACTTTACTCTAGGCTTGCCATCATTCACTCTGCTTTCAGATGTTTCTACCAATTTCAGCTGACCTGTAACAACACCATATAGTTCTAACCAGTAATTAGAAATAATCCGGCAACTTTACTGGGAAAGGGAAGAGATGTGAAGTTGTAAACATTGGGGGGGAAATGAGTCTCACTGAACTCTGGAAGTCTTGTCTTTGTTGCTAATTTTAGTTTGTGCTGAACTGCACCCTACTAGAGCTGTCTGTAGGATAAGGGTTATCCAGATGTTTTGAGCCAGTCCTTCCTGGTACAGGACAATGTGGTGGGGAGAGTAACCCATCCAGCTTCAGCAGCTCAGCGGATCGGGGGGGGGGGTTCCTTTTTAGTTCATCGCTGTATGAGAAGTCTGAGAATGAAATCCCAAACACAACTATAACTGAACATTTGTTTTGTCTCCCTTGCAGGTGGCAGTACATGTCCAAAGATTTTCATAGCTGTGCCTTGCACTGCAAGCAGCACAGGAAGCAGTACATCTAAGCTGTTTGAGCCGAACATCTGCAATGAAGTGGCTCAGGGAATAAATGGAAGCGTGCCAGTTAAGCACTCGCCACACCCAACTTCAAACCCAAAGCCACAAGGTCAGTAACGATTCCAAATACCTGCCAAGTCCTGACCCTCAGAGGAAGCAAAGTAAACAGTTGCTTTAGCCAAATAGTCATAATTCGTGGCACAAAAAAATTGTTCAAATGGTTTGCAGAAGCAAGCTTTTATTGAGGGTTGGTTGAATACAAGTGTAAGGTATCACTTGCTTATACTAATGAACTAAAATGGTGTAGTGGTTAAGACTGTGGACTCTAATCTCGGAGAAGCGGGTTTGATTCTCCATCCCTCCACATACAGCTGCTGGTGTGACCTTGGGTCAGTCACAAGTTCTTTCAGAGCTGTTCTCTCAAGAGCAGTCCTCAAAAGAGCTCTCTTAGCCCCACCTACCTCACAGGTTGTCTGTTGTGAGGAGGGGAAGGGAAAAGGGTTGTAAATCGCTCTGAGACTCTTTTGGGTAGTGACGGGTCGGGTATAAATCCAATCTCTCCTTCTTCTTTTGTAAAACAACATAAAACTTTAAAAAGAAGTAAAGTCTGAAAATGTAAATCGCTCTGAGACTCTTTTGGGTAGTGACGGGTCGGGTATAAATCCAATCTCTTCTTCTTTTGTAAAACCACATAAAACTTTAAAAAGAAGTAAAGTCTGAAAATTATAACTTTGAGTCATTGGATTCTGAAGTGACCAGAGATAGGAATTAATAGACTGCAGTCTTTCTGATATTTATTTTGTAAACACCCCCCCCAAACCCTAAATTTAGCTTCTCAAGGTAATCTCGCTTTTCTGAGCTGCAAGATGATGTTCCTAGACTGTGAGCTCACATCCTGCAGTAGTGAAGTGAATGAAGGTCTTTGGGAAAACTGAAATGCAGACAGAAAGTGAGATTATGGCTATATCCATCAGTCATGTAGCTCTCAGAGTTACAGGTTACTTCACTCTATTTGAAAATAACATTTGACTCATTTTTATGAGCAGATGCTATTTCTTTATTTCCTATTATTTTTCTTCTGTATCAGTTTAGGATGTCAAATTTAAGAGTTTTTTCCCAGGAAGATGAGAAGAGGGTCTGAGAGCAATGGCATCATTTCTTTATTTCCTATTATTTTTCTTATGTATCAGCTTAGGATGTCAAATTTAAGGGTTTTTCCCCAGGAGGATGAGAAGAGGGTCTGAGAGCAATGGTATGCAAAGTTCTTGACTTCTCTGCACCACAGGAAGGTAACAGCTACATCTTCAGAGGATGCTATTCTCCAGACACTACTGGGACCATCCTCTCCCTATGATAAAGTTAGTAGCATGGCCTCCAAGAGGAAGCACCTACACTCAGCTATGATTAGATCACTAGTAGAAGGGTAGGGCTGGTGTCATATTGTTTGCAGGTGCAGGGCTTAGTAAGAAGAGCTCCTGCAGAGGTCCACAACAAACACATCACACAACAATTTTGGAATAAAAAACAGGCCACAGCTTTTGTTGATTACAGACCAAGGAGCGTTGGCGAAGCATGGGGGTGGATCCTGGAAAATCGAGCTACCCGCCTGCCACCCGATAACCACATTCCTCAGCCCGCCTGCTGAGGGAAAAACCTGGGAGTGACAAATACTACTGTTATCCCAAGGGCGGCTGCCGCTGAGTGGTACCAATTTGACACCTGGAGTGAGCCTAGGCACAGCCCCTGAGATGAGCTTACCGCGTGATGGCTCAAACCCCCAGACTCCTTAAGGGGGTCCCCAACAAAGGGGGAGGTGGACACGCAGGCCCGTGTCGCCCTGAAAAGGATCCACCCAGATGCACAAAACTGCCAGCTGTGACAGCAAGGAACTTAGAAAACCTTTAAACCCAGGGACGGTGGGTGGGGATCCAACAAAAATCGAACTGCCACGCTTCACTGGCAGTGCTGCTTAAATTTTCCTGGGTAGGTTCTACGTCATCACTGCGTGGAGCCTGCCAAATTCAAGGTGACCAATCAGCTAACGTGGAAATAGCCAACACAGTCGCCCTAGGTTTCCGCCTCTGCTGGCCGTTAGCCCGATGGGAGGGGGGGGAGAAGACCACCTCCAGCCCTCTTCTGCCCACGCAGCAATCCAGCCTTTTCAGGTTAGTCTCGACCGTGTTTCTTGAAATACTACTCCCAAAGACCAAGGGCCATTGCTTCATTTTCCTTTGCCAGTGTGGTGTAGTGATTAAGAGTGGTGGACTCTAATCTGGAGAACCGGGTTTGAGTCCCCATTCCTTCACATGCAGCCAGCTGGGTGACCTTGGGCCAGTCACAGTTCTCTCAGAGCTGTTGTCTTAAGAGTAGTTCTCTCAGAACTCTCTCAGCCCCACCTATCTTACAGGGTGTTCTTTGTGAGGAGAGGAAGAGAAGGAGATTGTAAGCTGCTCTGAGACTCTGAGGGAAGGGCGGGGTATAAATCCAACTCTTCTTCTTCTCCTTCTCCTCCTCCCATGGCAATTGAATAACAATAATACTAAAGACACAAAGAAAACCATGTCTTACAAATAATAATGTCTTACAAATAATAATAAAGATACCTCGTTATCTTTGCTCCTGTAGTCCCTAGACTTCCTTCCCTCCTCCAGTCTTCTGCCATATGTGCAGTTTTATAAGTTGTATTGCTACATTAAACAAAATCTCCACTTATATAGCTTTTACATTTCTAAGTTATAGTTGCATAAAAGTAAAATGTCTTGGTCCAAGACTATGTAACAAACAAGAACTGTTTTTCTTTCTTATTGAAAAGAAACAAAAAAAAGTGCAATATGAGGATTGCTTTGACTGTTCTTATTGCTTGGCTTAAATCTGATTATTCAGATGGGCTCAAAAATTTACTTATTCCAGAATTTTTTGTTCAGGGCAAGAAACACCAACTCCATGTATGCTAGTTTCTCCAGATCCTGGGCAATTCAAGTTTTCAGTAGGTAAAAATTTTACTGCAAAGAGAGACTGCATGTGCTACCTTGGTAACCAGTCTACCTTGGTAACCAGATCGCCACACTTCTAGAAACCTTGTAGATTTAGAGTTCTATAAATTACAATCTGCACTAGAGCTAAGAAATTAAATTTCTAGTAGACATCAAAATTTGTGAGTGTAAGTTGAGAATTCCAGGAATAAAATAAGTTTACTCTGACCTGTTCCTTCTGAAATATTTCATGAATAAATAAATATTTGTAGGTAATAGCCACAAACATAACCACTGGGAGTATGTGCTTTGATGCATGTCTTCTGAATTGGAGCTCTGCCCATTTAAAGATCAAATCCAGTTGCCAAGGCCAATGCTTGATCTTCATTTTTCTTCTCTGACTTGTGTGTCACTTCTGGATGCAGCCCTTTGGTGCAATGACCATATGTACCCAGTCTTGGGTTGCTGTTTGGATCGTCTGTGACCCTTGTTCCTTCATATATACCCTGTGCCACATTTGAAGATCTCTCCTGAATTGACACCGCCAGTCGCCATCCTGCCCCTCACGCGGGGATGCTCCTCCAGGCCTCAGATTGGGGGTGGGGTTTAAAGTCACCCTGGGACTCCTTCTTCCCCAGCTGGGAGGTTACATGGCAGTTGTCAACCTCCATCCTGTATCCTCCCTGGCCTGGTTCTCTGAGCCTCCTTTTATAGCTCTCTTCCTTAATTATTGGCCTCCAATAATTCCCCTCCCATATCCCCCCGACGCTGACCCCACCTGGATCAGACACCTGGCCTAGACTCAGCCCTGGCCTGCTGCGTTCTATTGACTTTGACTCACCTCCACCCCCATGCTCCAGAGACAGCCCTTTCACGGCCCTCTCTGTGTCTGGGACGGGCCCGCCGGCTTCAGGCCGCTCCAGTCCATGCCAGCTGCCTCCTCCTTGCCGAGGAAGCTCCAGGCCTCCTCCATCCTCTCTGGCGTGGCGACTGGTGTGTCAGGGCCAGGCCTGGTGGGGTTGTGGAGGAGCGGACAGGTTCGTCAGGGCCAGCGCAGGGCGTCAGTCCCGGACACCCAGTCATTACTAAATTATGTCATTGTCTCTAGCTGAAATGAAAGTTTACAGGGAAATAAGGGTCTATATGCAGCTAGGTGATCAATGTTCCCATGTCTTCCCAGCCTGCAGTGTCAGGGATTGGGACTGAAAGCCCAGTGGCAGGCTGGGTCCATGGAAGCAAGCACTCTATGCTCACTGTTTTCTCTTTTTTTTACAAACATTTTATTAGGATATATCCAAATTACATCAACTTTTACCATACATATATATCTTCCCTATATCCTACCCTCCCCCCTTTCTCCCCCTTCCAAGCATCCCACAGTGCTCCAATCTTCAGTTCACCTTGCTATTTCCCTTACCCACCTTTTTTTCTACTTAATTTCTACAGGTAACATTTAGTTTTTAGTTACATTCAATTCCTTATTCAATTATTACAGTCAATAGACATCCAAACAAAATAATGTATCTTTTCCATCCCAATACTTTTCTAAATACACTTTTAAATCTTTCCAGTCTTCAAAAAATTTTCTTGTCATTTTGTCCATTTCTACCATAAAAAGTAGTTTCTTAATCCAGTCAGCCTCTATGCTCACTGTTTTCATGGTATGGAGACTTCTGCCTTACAGTTTACATGCATTTCTGCATGTCACTTAGTTCACTGCATTTTGTTATGTCAGTGAACTAAGTGACCCTTATATTGCTCTCAAACCAAAATTCATTTTTAACAAACATTTTGTCTTGCCCACCAAGTCACAATGAAGGCGGTAAGGTTTCATTTGATATGTACCATATCAATGTAAAAACAAGAATAAAGCGAGCAAATCTCAATACCCAAACCAGCAAGCATTAGAAGATAATCTAAAATTAGCAGATTGATCAATCAGCAACTGCATTTTAAAATACTGAATGATCCTTATTGAAGGACCAAAAAGGATGGTTTTCATCCACTGGTGGAATGGCTGGCGAGAGAGAGAAGATGTCCTTCACTCTCTGGGGCGTGTCAGAGCCAGGATATTGCAGATCCTGGAGTTTAGATTATTCTTGTTGATATGCCACGATTACTACACACATCTTTCGGTGATGCAACAATGTTTTCCAAAGGCTATGTGTGAGTTTGGTTCTCAGTTTGCCAGTTATAAGCATGATTTAACAGGATAAGAAATAAGCTCACAGGCCTGGATTATGTACTCGATAGCTGTTTTCTAGTAAAAACATCCTTCTGACCTGCAAATCAAGGAAGGCTTGAAATGTTTTCTCTTGGATGTTTTTGTGTGGCTGTTCATTTGAAGACGCTCCTTTAATGGAGTGGAAAATATTCAAAGTCTGTCTTTGCTACTCAGGATTTGTACTGGAAACGAACAATGGCCTGTGACCTGGTTCTGCAGAGTGGTGTTTTGTAGCTCCTTTCTGAAAAGCTGCTTAGAGCTTTGGAAACCAATTGCATCATTATATGCCATTCTTCAGTCGTCGTCCCCCACCCCTGGCATGGGAAATAAATCCTAGAAAGAAGAATCAAGTGTAACATTCAGTTTTGTGTTAACCTTTTAAATGTTACATTGCTACAATTTAGGACCATAAATTACCTAAAGTGAAGTTGTTAAGGTATTGTTGATGTTAGAGGAGCAGTATTCATAAGAGTTCTGAAGCAAAATTCCCTGTTTTTTGGCCATGTCATTGGAGAAAACGGCCTTCAAAAATTATATTAAAATGAAACTTAAAATCATCAGTATTCACTGTGTTTACAGACCTGAATGAAGTGTATTTGCCTCACTGTGACCTCAAAGAAAAAGCGATGCGTTATGATTTGGTCCTAAACCAAAAGATTTGTCTATCCCAAGTCTTACAACAAGCTGTAGAATGTATTCTTCAGAATGCATGTAAATAGGTACAGAAACAGTAGGATAAAACTGTGTGTTATGACTCCTTCTTAGTACGTGAAGTCTCTCGTCAGTTGTTTTGGAATACAAGGGACCAAAATAGTGGAGAAGCCAACAGCTCCTCCACCTATACAGTCCAGCCCAGTTTCCAAACTGTGTGCCATGAGACTGAGAGCTGCTGTACTTCCATGAGATATAAATTAAAGATTCTGGGAAGTACTGAGCATCCGCCTACAGAGATGGTTGCGGTGTTTCTCGATGAATTGGCCTTGTCTCCTCCCAGTCAACCTGTGATGGAATGGAGAGTTTTCTACAAAAAAAATTGCAAACACACGTATTCCTGAAGAATGGGAGAGTTGCATTATGCTGCAGCCTGTACTACTTCGGTGCATGTATCCTTTTCACCTATCAGATGGCAAAAACTTATATTGAAAACAGAAAACATAAATTTTGTAGTAATATATATTGTTTCGACAGGTATAGTCTCATAGTCATAATGGGCTGCAATATATCTAAATATTTAGATATCTAGTTACACTTTATAACATGAAAACACTGAAATACTCAGTAGTGCATTATCATACACATATCATATTAATTGGGGGGATTCTTACATGTAAACGAAGGTAGACTTGATAGTATGTTATGTGCAGTACAATAATTATTATGTAATAATATATCTTGTAGATAATCATCATACTGCATATTCTGAGTGAGTAAAATGTTGTCTTTCACTCATTACAAAAGAAAAATATTTTGTAGAAGGTTTTTTGGTGTTCCCTACAATCTCCCGATTTTTCCAGTTGGAAAAATGAAGGGAAAAAGGGGGAGGAGGCATTTTTCCTTGGATCTGTACAGCTCTACTTATTACAGTAACCCAGCAATATCAGCCCTCATCATAGGAGGCTATCTGTTGCATTTCTGCATGAGTCATGGTTCTGGGCTACTAATCAAGAAGAACACCCAGAATAGTTGACATACCAAATGATGGCAGATGGGCATCTTTGGAGGCAGATGGTTCTTGTTCACAGCAATTCTAAAAGCAAAACTTTTTGAGATGAAAATCCTCCAATTTTGATTCAGGAAATAGTGTTCCTCCAGTTCAAAAATTCTGAAATGTTTCTTGTACTTCTCTTTATATCATTGCCTAAACAGGCAACTTTTGGTCTGGCAGAGACTCTGGCTGCAACCCTGCACATTTCTTTAGGGCTGGCGAGCACACGTGTCTCTAAACATATGCACATTTTAATTTGTTTAGCATAATTTTTGTTAACTTGTACGTGCTTAGCAAGTTTTGCATAAGGTTGGTTTTGTTTTTCCTTTCCCTACTGAAGGTATGTTGTATAACTTGGGAAATTACTGCTGTCATCATGAGATACAGCTGTAATAGTAGTAGAATTTATTACAGTTGCTAGACCAGCCACATACAGCTGTAATTGTGGACATGAATCCTTCTTCCATTCAGTTTCCTTTCGCAGGGTATTCTACGGCTTCTTCCTGTCTCCCTTTCTCCCCTTCCCCCAATAGTTTTATCACCTCTTTTAGTTAGCTAGCTGTTCAATTTTTTGGCACTTATCTGATGTTCACTGGCCTACATCTGCCTGTCAGTTCCAGGGAGAATCCAGAATAGGAAACAGTTCAGTCTCTAGCAGCTGCTGGCAGGTAGATGATAAAACCCATTTCAAAAATCTTCGAGGAGATAATAGACCTATAATGAGCAAACGTGACAGTCTTTTTAAAAACAGAGTAAAAATTATAGCAGTCTTTCCAGTAATTCATTTGTACACCTTTCAAAGAGCTTTGTTAATGCACAGGCTAGTAGGAACTGAGGGCTTTGGTTGTGTTCTAATGACAGAAATATCAGTTCTGATCCTACTAAACTACAGTTAAAATGTATCTTGATTTGTTGATGCAGCTTCTTCTTTTAAAACACCCTGGGTGCGTTCAGACGGGGCGTTTCGGCCGGCATAAACTGCACCGGTTCCAAC